GCAGTTCCACTTCTTCTCGAGCTCTTCGAGTTGATTGAGGTGAGCAATGAGTTGTCTGTGGTATAGTCGATCGACATTAACAGTCTGCGAGGTAAACTCCGAATCGACTCTGTCCACCATATCCAAGATCTCAGACTTCACGAGCTCCAAGTTTTGGGCATTTCGAGCTGGTGTACGACAAATAACGTTGTCAACCTTAATGTCATCGTCCTCTCGGCCGACCCCACCACGATCCATGGCATTGGAGAATTTGACGAAAACAGAGTGCTTTTTCATAATGCGCTGGATGTGTTGTCCGCCAATGCCTATAATACGCTTGTGGTATTGGTCGGGAACATGGAACGAAATCGAAGCGGGCATTTCCTGCTCAACCAAGATTAATCCAGATTTCATGGCATCGTAATTTCCTGCGCAGACATCGATATTGAAGTTGTATTCGTTGAAGCCATCGAAGATGATTTGAACACTGCTTTGTCCCATAATCTTGTTGATCTTGCCATTTTTCTTTCCACTGACGAATTCCTTGTGCTCATTGGCCAGCTCGATTTTGACGCGGATGGTGTATTGAGATCTGGTAACGAATCTAATATCGGAAATGACCATTAATGCCGCCTTCACTGCATCATCAGAGCCTGTAATTGAGAAGGTTAGTTTGTCGAAAGATACATCGGCGTCCGAGTTCGCGCAGATGTCAGAGAGCATAGTTCGGATCTCGACCGGAGCGGGAAGACGGTTTGTATCAACCTGTTGAATCCACCATGTAGCACTATAGAACTGGCCAGTCTAGTAGATAATTAGCACGTGGCTTTCTTCCTCAAAAGTTACAGTACTCACCAGAGACATGATGTCTCTAACAGTGCGCTCTACGTGAAGTCCTTCAACGCCTTGGATTCGGATCATGTTGCGTTGTGATGCCAGTGCCGGGAACTGGATAAAAGTGCCATTTGTCTCCATAATCTTTCGAACCTTGTCCAATCTGCTCAAAAGAATACTGTCGATTTTAGCAGCTGAGACTACGGCATCCTTCATGAAAACCCGGGTACGGCTGACGAGATCGTGTATCTTTTGCTTGGCCATGGCAATGTTCTGTGGCGTTTCTCCAGTGATGAAAATTTCCTCTGGGTTTCGTCTTTGAGCTCCTGAGGGACAGTATCTGTAAACCTGTGAAAAGGGAGGCGGAAAGTAGATGGCGGTGTTGGTAGCCGACTCGATAATCTTGATATTCTTTCGGGATCGACCGCATACCACAGTGTGGAGGGATAATTCGAGCATCGTTCCATCAACAACACGGCCGAGCTATATTTTGTCAGACAAGCAGCGTGACTCTCTCCAAATAATTCTTACCAGTCTGTCGATGAAGATCAAAACCCTAGTCTTAGCATGCTCGGTACTTTCCATATCTCCGTAAATGGCTACTCTCCATCTTTGATCCCGACCGGCATCACCATTACCATTCAAGCCGTCCGTGAGAGATGTAAATTTCGGTCCGAGTAGGAAGATGTCAACTCCACAGAATGTAGCAATTTGATCCAAGTGCTCAACGACATGAGACTTCAAGGCTGTCGCTTCGGTATCGATGACGAGTTCACCGTCCACGTCTACAACAGCACAACGCTATCGATCTATTAGCACACCAAAAGAGATACATGATATAGACCAGCCTTACCAGTGCCAGTGGCGTATCATTAAGAATTGTTTCCCTGCTCTTGTGAACCAGCTCCGGGCTTCCCGAGAGACACACATTTGTGACCTGTCCTTTGACTCGTTTTGGCTCCGACGACTTAACATGAGCTTCGATAGGTAGCGGGCCATTCGTGATATCCTTGCATAGCTTCCTCAAGTTCATGACATTCTGTGCGTGTACCGGTAAATCGTGTATCGGGACATCGTCTGGCGCGTCTTCGGGGTGTGTCCATCGGAGGACTGCATCGTTGGTCGCGTAGAGGATGTCCTCTGTGTTAGGGCCAGCGAGATCCGAAGCAAAGGGAACGTTGAAGGAGTAGTGTATGTGTGCTTGTTCGGAGGTAGGAGACAGGATGGGAGAGGCACCATGGGTCGCCTTGTGTTGAGGCGTGATGGCGGTCATATTCATGTTCGGCTGCCTCGACATACCGAAGCCTGGGCCCATCCTCTCTGACCAATGCCTCATGTTTGCTAATTTGTTCATGTTGGAGGCACTCGTCTTGGAATTCGAAAAGGAAGAGACGTCGTCGGGCAGGAGAAGTCTCGTGCCTGTAGGGAGGAGAGTTCGGTAAGACTCGCAGCACAGCAGTCAAGCTGGGCTGATGTGATAAGCAAGCGGAAGCGCACCAGGCGGGTTCGTAGCCAGCCAAAGAAGGCGATGGAGGGCGGACTCGTCGAGGGCCGGGTGGAGCGTGGAGCGTGGAGCGTGGATGCAGGTGTGAGAGCAGTGTGCCAGGGCACGAAGCGAAAAACACACACTGCCACAATGATGGGCCGAATGGTGCGTAGGGTGGAGAGCCGGAATCGTGATAGGGCGGATGGCCGTGGGTGGGAATGCTGATTTCTGGCTGGACCGGGGGTTGGCGATGGGGTGTGCCGAAAGGACAAGCCTACAGGGGCGCCGGAACTGCGAAGAACAAGATTGGGATGGGGAGTGCGGATAGGCCGTGGCTAGCAGCAAGACCTCAACTCCCGTCGTCCACGAAACAGCACGAGCAGTCCTCGACGACAAAGTTTCTGATTCTTCTGGCTGAAGTGAGATCTCGCCAGTCACAGGCAGTCAAACCGCGACAGGCAGAGAGCAGGGTTGGGCACTTGTTACGTTTGCGTCGCAGCGCCTCCAAATGGGCACCCGAAATGTGTGAAGAGAGGCAAAAGTCAAAGGATGAATGATGGCCTGTTTCCGTGGAGCGTTGACCGCACTGCAGATCAGCTTGTCGACGCTGCGCACCAGTCCACGCAGGTGAGATACAAGGAGTCCGCTCAAGGAAGAAGGAAGACCTGCAACCTGGCAGATATTATCAGAAGCAAGTCGACGCGATGACAAGGACGAGGACTTGTTTGTGTGTCGAACAAACCAAACGCCGAGCTCACTAGGTCCGTACACTGTGCGGATTCGATATTATCACGCTCGGTATCCTATTTGGCAGCTGTTGAAGCTTGGGAGAGCTTCAAAGGGCGTGCTAGGCCCCATACGAGTGAGCAGCCAAGCTCTCAACCCCATTCTACGCAGTAGGTTGGCCCACAAGCACTACCAAACGACCATCGACTTTGTCTAGAATTCCATCCCCACGGCCCTAAGGACGCTTTACAACATCATCGTGCACGGCTGCGATTGGCTTGGACATATAGCTCCTGCGTGTACTCGACCAACGATTATTTCTCATCCAAGTTTCCATTATTCACTTGAGCGTCCATCAACCTTTCATCCATTCTTTTTCCGAGTCTTTGCAATCTGATCCTCCCGACGAACCCCTATCTTAGACTTCGCAAAAGGAAAATGGCATGTTTTCTGCCACTCACCAGAAACATGTCTCGTGTCGAAGCCTCATCAAAAGCCAGCAACTTCCCTTTGTCCTCTGTGCACTCGCAGGCAAAATCCAACCTTCTCCACGTTGATCCGTGCCCTCATCGGATCGCCAGGGCCACATCTTGAGACGTGTTGCAATTGGAAACGATCGACCACTTGTTTCCAAACTTTCTGTGGTTGAGGTTTTGCGGCTTACTGAGATGCCCACCAGTTCTTAAATGCTACCACCAATCATTTTCTTCTTTCCGTTCTTGAAATAATTATTTAGTAGCTCATCAGGTGATGACTTCATCACCACTATTCAAGGCCCTCTATTTAGAATTTTTCGACCCCGCGTCTAAATTTGTACCCGTCTCTTACCGAACGGCTTCATAGGCACGCACTACGACTTCAATAATTGTCTAGACCTCGACCCTCGGGCACTCGGATTTACAAAAAGCATGACGTGGAAAGATTTGATTAGAGTATTCTGCATAACTTCAACAACAATTCGGCAAGTAATGAACTACACGAATTCCGCCCAATTTCAGATACAATTCTTTGTATGCAGACATACTCTCCTCAGAAGTGCATTAAACACATCTCGGAAAAGATAGAAACTTCAAAACTTAAATTCTCCTCTGAATTTGCTTTTTTACCATTTAATGGTTTCCACAATATCTGTGTCTAGACTCCCAGTTGAGAATAAGACATGACGTGGAACGGCAACACCCGCCTCTAAACTCTCCATCAGCTCAACCGCAGTGGCGAGAACACTTTCAATGGCTTTGCTTTTCTCCAAGGACAGGAATTCGAATCAGGATGCTTGATATAATTCATACTTCAGTCGAATCACGCACTCACACGGGCTTCTCATATACTCATTGCATACTTGCAAGTATCCCCTGTCTTCCATTCTCAGAATGCTCTACCACCACTATCAACAAACCACCATTCGCTGGTCATTTGCAAATACAGTTTCTGTAACTTTACTCTACTCTACTCGCTCCTGTTTGAAAGTTTTTGAAGACTATGAGTAGTAATAGCTGGGACCGAGGACTTATTCGGGTGCTCAAAGATTTGTAATGCAAGAACTTTATAATTTTGGTTGCGTTGTTTTCTCCTTCGAAATCTGTTAGTTCGAGATCCTGCCATAGTCCAGCAAAGATTCCGCGTCCCAGCAGATTCTATAAAGCTTCTGCACAAACTTGCTATATTATCTTACGACTTTTCACATTTATAGTCACAAGAATCTCAAAAAGAATTCAACCCTTCTCAATCACACGCGACTCAATATCCGAAGTCTCGCCGAGAAGATATATTTCCAAAAAAGAAAAAAGTCAATCAACCACCACCTAGGCAAACCTCAACCTGTCAAAATTATTTCAGCACTTTGGATCATATATTGAATTGTTCAGTATACAGGACAAAAATAATGGTAAGCAAGTCTCTCACCTTTATCCATCAAAAAACAAATCAAGACTGTCTCAAAACCTCCAAAAAATCAATTTTATCAATTGATACTCGCTGGACTTGCAGGGAATCGAACCCTGGACCATTCCCAAACACCGTGTTCAATGCTAAGGGAATATTATACCACTAAACCACAAGCCCTAGATGTATTGTGGTATAATCCTGCTTTTTAAAACTTATATACGGCGTTTGGAATTGTGCCGAAGTTGTGGAGTGGATGCATGGAGGGGGAGAAATTTTTAAGCGAGTTTCGTGGTGAGGTTGTGGAAGTTGGGAGAATTGGGGGGTGGGGGACGAGTGGGCCACTTCACGGTGAAGTATGCGAAAGGTTTGAGACGTGATTTAGATGCATTGGAATTTATTATATTCCATTGTTTCTGCGATATGCATCGACGTTATTGGGGATTTTCATCTTAGGAAGTAAAGTGCAAGTGCGACCTTGATCTTAAATCCGTTCCTTCCCAACTCAGCGAGTGCACCTCCCAGCTCTCATTTTGACCACTTTTCTTCGCCCCTCAAATCAATTGGTCATGTTATTGTGGTACCGGTAGTATATGCAGTTGCTTGGAAGATTTCCAGAAATTCTTCCGAGCTCCGAGAACGGTAGAGGGACTTTTGTCACTTCGAATCAACATAGCTTTTATATAATGTACCACGAAAATCGCGACACGTATTTATTAGACAAAATTTTGCGTATGCAAGAAGAAAACTCGTATCGGAAAAAACGACAGCTGGTCTTCTGAGTTACACCCATGTATAAGTGTATTTTATTTATGAGAGTTCCATATCGATGAAGTTATGAGACTTAGACGACGAAGTACTTCCAGGCCGAAGACTCGAAGAACTTCCGTAATCACAAAGGCACCCAAACAATCACGCACAACGAGATACAGTCTCACGATTTGAGTTGTTGACGGAAGACTCGACGAAGAGAAAGTAAGCCATTGTGACGCGAGCGGACACTCTCTGTCCGCATTGAAAGAGCAATGAACGCCAGTAATATGCATACCATGCAAACCACATTTCGCCATCCCTCCCCCAACCAGACGCATATCTTGTAACTTAGTCTATATTGCTGGTACTCTGAAGCACCCATGCGGTGAAATCCCTGATTGCGTAAAGCCAGACATATATTAGAAATCCAGCAAGTAATCCACCAAAGATGACTCTAAGTATACCATATTCGCCTAGGAAAACGTTTGAGATTGTTCCAACAAGCCATCCATGCTTTTCTCTGCGAGTGTTCTAAGAGAAATGTTAGCATCTGAGTCCTAGCTATAAGTCCTCTCCGTCAGAAGAACTCCCAGGAGTTTCGACAGTGACATGAGCCCCATCCACGAACTCTTGCCATCAGCCTTAACACTCTAAAAGAGTCCACAGTGACAAAAGAATTATGACTTACGCATCTTGCCGTGGTAATTGCATCTGCTAGTGCCGTCGCTTCAGACTTCTCTAGTCCCCATGCTTCCAACTGCCCTCGCACTTTGCAAACACAAGCGCTTTGGGCGCCTTTACCACCCCAAGTGACCATTTGCAACCAATCACTGCTGTCATTCACCGAGATTGCCCGTTAATCGATATGTTTGGAAATCCATTGACGAACCTCTGCCGGTCCTTCAGTTGCGTCCGGAAAGGTGTGAAGAAATGCAGCCAGGCTGAGAGTGGGGCTCTCATTGTGTATTGCTCTCAACATAGCATGTTTTCTCTTGTTGGATTCATTCCAAGCGATCTGGAGACGCCTCCTCCGCTCATCCTCGTTGTTGCGACAGTGCATAATTTGCTTTGCAGTCATGTGTTTGTTCTCGTCGCTCATGAATTTCGAACTCCCACAGAAGGCTTCGTCGTAGCGCATGATCGCAAAATCGAATATCTCGTTTCGATGATTCAATTGTATACTTTCTTCTGTGATTTGCTGATACGTCGTATAGTAGGGATCGAGATTTGGACCTGCATCTTCGAGGATGAGATCAATGTTTGTGTCGAGCCTGGCCAGATCTTGAATCCTCTGAGCATTGCCATCCACCTGATCGACATTCGCGGTGTCCGTCGTCATGGTAGCGTTTTGATCGTCTCCCTTAGCTGAAACCCCCGCGAGGTGCTTGAAAGAAAGGATGATTGAGAATGTTCCATCCTGCTCTCTGACTACCTTTCGTCTCTCCTCGATCTCCTTAATGCCTACCTCACTTATTCCCTCATGCAAAGTCTCCAAAACAGCCTCCGCACATGGCAAAACGCCATCAGAATCAATCTTGAAGCCCGTTGAGGGACGTTCGTTGCCATCTCCAGCATCAGTAGCCGCAGCGGGGACGTGCATGGTGCAGTGATCTGGGGGATCGTGTCTCTGTGGATAATTGTCCGTTGAGAGTGAGCTCTGGTACCTAGGCAACTTTCCCGAGGGATAGAGGAATTCCAAACGCCGCTATTAGAGTTCGGAAGTGACAGGAAGAATTTGCGCTGTGAGGAAGTTGAAGAGATCGTTGGGGAAGCATGGGTTGACTTCTTGACTTGAGAAGGAAGGAGCGACAAGTGCCTAGCGCGAAATTGACAGTCATTTCCATAAGGTAGGTGCGAACGCCAACGACTCCCGTATTGACAAAGTTCGTTATTCTACTGTTTATTATACTTAGAAGATGTCTTATCATTCTTTAGGTATTAATAGGGGGGAAAGGGGAGAGGGAGCAAACTAAGCGAACAGAACAATGCGGGTACATCGTATTGAAAGAAAAACTTCGTATTCTGTAGCATTCACGCAATCTAGCCATGCTAAACCCCGAAGTACTGCGCATGCAGACCCTTCTGAATATCATCTATGTGTACACCAGAGTAGAGAATCGTGAATCGTGAATCGTGAATCATGAGTAATTCGCTATGTTATCCAGCCAACCTCTTCAAGTTGCCAAAGCAGCAAGCGGCTCCTTATGCAAATGGGTATACAACCAACTCCGTCCATACCAACGCCACGTCTATAATCATGTACAAAAAAGCAAACCTTATGGAGACCGTGGCCCAATCTCGAATCGCGGCAACAACGCAGTAACGGGAGAAAGATGTGCAACAGAGGAAGATTCGCTATCGGCATCAGCCTCTGGATCAACCATGTAGGCCATAGTCAATGGTGAAGTTGCAAGAGATAGTGCAGAAATTGATCGTGTGAGGTCTCGCTTCGAAGTAGATCGCATCATATCCCGCCTGTGAATCATATCCTCACGGGCTGTTTCGTTGAGTGGAGGACCAAGGTATTGTGGAATGCCATCTTTGCGGAACATTGCCAGGGCTGCCTCCTTATCCTTCTCGCCTTGTGCCTTGAATCTCGTCTCCATGTAATCCAGCATCATCCTCTTGTGCTGGGTAATAGGTATCTTCGGCCTTCCCTTGGCGTCTAAGTCGGGTTTCTTGGGGCCATGACAGTGAACACAGTTTTGTTCAGCATAGGGTGCGTCTGGTCCAGATCGACACTTCCACCACCCTCCCTTTGCCTGACGCGTAGGTGTGCACCATCCAGGGCTCTTATCGTGATAGTGCAGGTCCCATTGTGGTTTTCCAGGATCCTTGCGATGAGTGAAACCACGCTCAACCTCTTCCAACACAACATACTCGTTCAACATGTCGGTATACATGTCCCACGGGTTTCTTGGGGTGTCCTTAGGGAACCAATCAGGTAAGCCAGAAAAGCAGGTATCTCGATCTCCAAGAGTGATTGGTGATCCAGGAGGAATGTGGTGCTGCCTGCACTTGGAGCAGAACTCGAGCTCGCCTCCACCATCTTTGTTTTCGTTAATATTGTTGATGAAGTCCTCGCGCTGGTCCTCTTCAGGGTACAAGACTCCACTGACGCCAGGAGTAAACATGACCCAGGCTGGACGAGCAAAGTTGATGTGTTGAGCCATCTTCTCTCCCTTGGTCATCTTTGGAGCTGCTGCCCACATCTCCTTGAGCATTCTGTTGACATTTTCCGCCCGCTCCTCCGCTGTCGGGCTCCTCGATTCGTAGCAAGGCCCATTATCCTGAGCAGAAATATTATGAAGTTTTGGATCATAGCATTGACTCGTCAAGTGATATTTGTCATTTCCAGCGGGTGGGAAGACTCTCCAGCCAGCAGGGGAGTTGTGCTCAACGTGTTGAAATCCACCACGAAGGACATTCTGGGTATTTGGTTCGAACTCGGGATAATATTTCCGTGGCTTTGCCCGAGTTGCATCTTCGTCTTCTCTGGCCGCGACCTCTCGAATGTTTGCAGTGGTCATCTTTTGGTTGTGTCTGTGTCGGACGGGAGATGGAGATTGACCGGAGAAGTCTTCGGGTTCAGAGGGTAGTTCCTGCTCCGGATCAGTAACTCCTCGAGGCTTGTAGAAGGCCATTTTGAAGTAGGCAGCTGCCAATGCGAAAAATGCAGGAGCAATCAAGGTGGTCGGTGAATTGCAACATGCAGTCGTGATTTATAGAGATAGAACGAGGTGCGACTCACCCATAACGGCGAGGCTGAGCTCCCGGAGAAACCTTGATCCGCTTCAAATTGAATCAAAACTTGCCCAAAAGCCGACAGTGATGCTTGTTGAGTTTTATGGTGATGTTAGACAATTTTTTGTGCTGTTGTTGAAAGTGTAGATAGCAAAATCTGAAGCGAGACACGTTGAAGTAAACTTTGGAACTTTGGAAAGCCCCTCTAAACGACGACCCTACTAATTACTGTGCACATCGGCTATACACCATTTCTCTACCTCAAATATAGCATCACAAGTCCGTTATCATAATTCGTGAGGTTGGGCCAAGAAGCTTCTACTTGTGAATAATAAGTTTGACAGATTTAGGTTCCGCAGCCATGAGTAACGCGTAGCAATCGTGACGCGAGATGACAAACTTTCGTAGCCAGCAATAAGAGATCACTAAATATCTCTGATTCGTAGTTCTCATTGGACTTGAAAAGCTACGCTGCCCACGGAGGAGAATTCTAAAGTATGCAAAACTATGCGGGTATCAATGAACAAGACAAATACATAAATAGTACAGGATGAAATATCGTTGCCTCTTTAGCCCATTAGAGGTCCAACGCTAACCTTTTCCCTCTCTCGTAACGCCTGCTCTTGTTCCATCTTGAGCCTTGCACGCCCTGATCTCCTCTTATCTGCTTCGAGACTGGCAAA